TAAACCCTATAAGCCCTAACCCAGAAACCCAACCCAGGCTGCACGGAGCAGAAGCTCCAGGAGATCTCTGAGCCCAAAGTGCCCGCGGCTCCCGCTCGTTCAAAGGGCTCCCATGCAGCTTGTCCTGGGGTTTAGGGGCTTAAGAGTTTTAGGGTTTAGGGTTTAGGGGTGTTTAGGGGCTTGAGGGTTTCAGGGTTTAGACTTTAGGGCTTGTAAGGATTAGGGTTTTGCTGAGGTGGATTTTGAGGGTTTTGTAGGGTTTTGCGGTTTAGGATCTCAGGGACTGACTGAAGGCTGTAAGAACCGAAAAGAGCCCAAGAGACAGTGCGATTTCGCCGAGTGTTCGGACAGAAGGTTGCCGTTTCAGGAGTTGCCCTAAACTCTCAACCCTAGGGTTTAGGGTTTAGGGTTTAGAGGTTTAGGGTTTAGGGTTTAGAGGTTTAGGGTTTAGGGTTTAGGGGTTTAGGGCTGCCCTAAACTCTCAACCCTAAGCCAAATCGACTGGGCCTTCAGGAACTCGGCCTCTGCGAGCGCTACAACGTCGGCTCTCTCAGACACCCTGAGCTCTGTAGGAAGCCCTGCGTCTTGGCTTTGAGGATTGAGGTTTAGGGCTTTTTAGTGTTTGTTTGAACTACAACAGTATGCAAAATAATAGCGTGTTGTGGGTTTTGGGCCATTATTTTACCTACTTTTGGGGGGTTAGGTAGGGTTTAAGTGTATGGGTTTTAAGTTTTAGGGCTTACGACGGTTTAGGTCTTATTCGTGTTTGAGATGTAGGGGTTGAGGGTCTAGGGTGCTTTGAGGGTTCGCTGCAAGAACCTACTGTCTTAAGGGGTATACCGTCTTAGGGCTTACTATTCAGGGCTTTCAGTTTAGGGCTTAACCTTGGGTTCAGGATTATGAGAAACTAAGTTTCACTACAAGGGTTCTACCATACGGTTCTTGACGTTTGGGGCTTTGGGTTATAGACGATAGGCAACACGACACATGTTTCTTCAAGGGGGGCCTATGGCCTATAAAGGTTGCCACTACAAGGGATCCTAAGCGGGTGATACTCAACGGCTGGTTGAAAAGAACCCGTGAGGGTCTAAGCCTAAACCCTAATCCCTAAACCCTAAACACTAAACACTAAAGAGTAGGAGCTGTGGGGCTTCGGGGTTTGGGGTTTTGGGTGGTAAGGCTTCCTGGCTTTCCAGGGGTCGTAGAGTTTCTGAGGTACATGCTTCGGAGCGTTCTCGCGTTTGAAAGGATCTTCCAAGGTTAAGGGCTCCTAAGCCATAAGCTTTAACCCCAAGCCCATGGTATTTTGCCTTCCCAGGGAATTTTCACATCCAGGTTGGCCAAAAAGGAGAACCGCTGAGTGAAACCACGATACACCCCCCTGTCCCCCGAGCCCAGCAAGAAACGACCCCCACTTCAGGCTTCTATGGTTTTGTTAAGGCCTGAACCCTAAACCCTAAACCCGTAAGGGTAGGTTTAAAGAAGTGTAGGGTTGAGGCCTTAGCCTGTATATGCTTCCGCGAACTTGTTAGAATTTTGGAGCAGCACAGATCCTGTAAACCTTCTGCCCGCTTGCTTCCAGGCTTGTAAGACTTGGGTCGTCACAGCGCTACAGCTACGCGCTTATATCTAGTATGCATGTATATATATATACACATGTAAATATACGCAATGCATGCATGCATTCATACTTACTTACTTGCGTACAAACATGCAAACATACATGCTTACTCACTGTTACTTGCTTGCCTACTTGCTTACTACATGCATGCATGCATGCACGCATGGCATTGATGTATGCATACATGAATGTATGTATGGATGCATAGCTGTATGCAATGTATATGACATATGTATGTAGTTCATGCAAGGTATGTAGGTATGTATGCATGCATGCATGCATGCATGCATGCAGTTACGTATGTATGCATGCATGTATGTATATGTGTGTGTGCGTATGCATGCCTGTATGCATGCAATGTATGTATGGTATGTATGTATATATGTATGTATGTATGTATGTATGTATGTCTGTATGTATGTATGTATGTATGTACGTACGTATGTATCTCAGTCTGCATGTGTATGTAGTCCTGTATGGATGGATGTCGTGTACGGCATGTGATATATATATATATATACACATACACATATACATACATGCATGTTATATGTACATATATATATATACCAGTATACATACATATGAACATATACATATACATATACATATAAACATATACACACACGCACATATATATATATATATATGTATATGTATACATACATGCATACACGTATACATACATGCATATACCCATATATTCACACACATTAATGTGTATATACATATATATATATGTATATATATATATATGTATGTGTATATGTATCTGTATATGTTGTGCAATACATGCGTTGTCGACTTATGGCTTTTCTGCGACGATTTCTTACAGTTCTGTACCGTGTGGAGTGAACAGCCGTAAACGGTGTCTAGCAAGACGTAACGATGTGGATCTTAGGTGTTTGCAGAGGTTGCAGCACCAACCATATAACACCGGAAACCCACATGACTACGCACTGGGTACCTGCAAGTGCTATTTTATTTAGATGCAGTAATCTACCACACCATGGCCTTTAATCTTGAGGGAAGTTTGGGAATGCAGACCCCGGCCTTGCGAGCTGAAGTACAATTCGCCTGAAGCGATTTCCAAGGTCTGTTCCATGAGCGGGGCGAGTGTGAGAATGGCGCTGCTTGCGGATACTGCCTCCAGCCTGAACTCTAATCGGGTGGCCTGAATAGACAGTAAATGATAGTAATGGTATCTATATTTTCCCCTACTATCTAAGAGTCTATTAAGTATAGTTAACATATCAGTGCATTTATTCTGATCATGCAGCCTGCTAGCTTACGAAGGTTCAGATTCGTAAGGTTGAGCTTGACGAGCTGCGTGGGTGCCGGGTTTTTGGTGTAGCGGTCGAGCCCCCGACTCAGATCCAGTAGACTCCTCCATGCCTCGTAATCACAGCTGTGCGGCTGGGGTCAGGGCTGTTTTCCTTCCTTCTTAAGACTGTAACATAATGGTGTACTGTATCATAGTGCATTATCTTCTATTCTATCATGTTTCGTAATGTCTTTGTGTTATATTTTACTCTATGTGTCTGTACAGTGTCTGTATGTATATATATATATATATGTGTTCGTTCATATACATATTTAAACCTACATACTACACTGAAACTAAGCTCTCTGCAGAGCCTGAAGTGATATGCCATCCCTCCACCCCTGAAAAAAACTATAAAAAAAAGCAAAACAAAACAAAAACACATGTTTTTTAGTTGTTTTTTTCCACTTCTTTTTTTCCCCGAGAGACCCGGAGGATGGCAAAGCCGATCCCAACCCGAAGCCCATGGGTTTAGGGTTGAGGGTTGAGGGGTTTGGGGTTTAGGGTTTAGGGTTGAGGGTTTAGGCTTCAGGGTTTAGGCTTTAGGGTTGAGGGGTTTGGGGTTTAGGGTTTAATGAACCCGACGCCCCAAAATCCCGAGACTTCCCGAGACCTCGAACTAAGCCCTCAGCCCACATCACCTTAGGTCCTGGACTCTTCTGCCTAAACCCGAACCTATGTTAAATCTGAGTGCTAGAACGTAGCCTCATCCCTAAACCGTATAAACACTAAGCGAAGAACCCTGGAAGAGCAAGCTGAGGTCACTTCCAACATCTGAGGCGACCCGCAGTGCCCGACCGATGTCAGCGGAGTCTGATTCGCAGACTAAGCATCCCAGCTCGCTTTAAAGGTTGAGGCTGCTCCTTTCTGTGAAATTGGCAACAGTGTGCAAGGGTTTCGGGCTTACTTGAGGCTGTTCTCGCCGGTTTGTAATGGGTATGGTCTAGAGTCTAGAGGTAAAGGCTGTCTCGTTTTACCTTGTAAGACTTTAGACTGGGTTTAGGGTCTAGGGTTTACTCAAGGGTTTCATCAAGCATGAAGACTGTCAAGCTGTTTGATTTAAGGTGTTTCGGCTTTAAGATGCAGTCTTTTCTGCTCAGGGTTTTCCATGAAAGCCGGTGAGCGTTACGAACTACATCTTCGTTTGCGGCAGCTTGCGGTGAGTCAAGCTTGTAGCCTATACTCTGGCAAATTAGCCCAAGCGTGCAGGAATGTCGAAGAAGATTCGGGAAGAAGATGCGATGTGAGGGTCTGTTAGCAGTAGCACCGAAGAAGGCATGCTACTGTAGATAAAGGCAAGGTATTCCTTCACAGCTCCATCTTGAGGATCCTTTCGTGGGGGGAGGGAAAAGACCTAACCCCAGAGTAATCAATAATAGGATTGCTTGGGGGCTCTTATTATGATTGTACTATGACACCCCCCCCAACAAAAAAAAAACAAAAAAACGTTCTGTTTGTGTGCTCAGGCATTCATTGTTGAGTTCACAAAAGCCGACAGCTGGGTTCCTTCCACCTTCCGGTTTACGGTTTTGAGTTTAGGGTGTAGGAGTTTAGGGTTCGGGGGTTCGGGATCTATGAGTGTGGGGGGTTTGCAGCGAAGAAGCAACGATGGTTTCAGTCCTCGTTGCTATAGTCTGGGGCTTTGAAGGTGTAGAGTTTAAGCCTCATAATTAACGCCCAAGGAGCTGCAGAACTGAAATGCCTCAGGCCTGCCGCAGCTCATTGTTTTCGTGGTGCCGCATGTTCGCACCCGCCGCTTGGACTGAATTCCGGGGCTTTATGAAAAAGCTCGAGACGTTAAACCTCGAACCCTAAGCTTTACTATACCCTAAACCCTAAGCCCTCGAACTTAATACCTAAGCCCAAGCCCTCATGCCGATATCCTAAACCCCAGGCCCTCAACCCTGAAACCCTTCAACCGTAAATCCTAAGCCCTCAAACCTAAATCCTTAAACCTTCGAAGCCTTAAACGGTGGAGCCCAAAGCTCGGGAGTTCAGTGGCTGGGCGCCCGAAGATGGAAGCTCCAGAGCAGGCTTTCTCATTTTGGCATACCAGAACATACCTATGCAGAAACATACATATGTATACGAAACTTGTTCGTGTGCATATATCTATATATATATATACATATACTCATTGATGCAGGATACACAGCGTATATATATATATAGATATGTATATATATAGATATGTATATATATATATATATGTATATATATATATGTACAGATATTATCAAACGTTTCCAGACACATCTTATATTTCAGCATGGCATCTTTTCTTGCAATTATGTCATAATGTTCTATGATCGTTACGTCTAGCTGTGGTATATATATATATATACATATGTGGACATTGTTACATTAGAAGCCTCAAGGACCAACCACCTCTTGAACATGCAGGCTCTGTACCCTCATGTTATCAGCCCCAAACTAGTACTGGAGCCTTACACCCTTCTGGGCTACGTTCGTCCGAAAGGTGAGCTTTGTTTGCTATCAGAGTTCTACTGGTATCACATGCTGGGCTTCGTTCAGAGTTCAGGATACGAGAGCAGGGCTTTGAGCCTTCTATGTTTCGTCTCGTCATGCGCAGGATGTCCTACCGTGGTTTAGGGGTTTAGGGTTTTGGGTTTTGGGTTTAGTCGACGGGTTTCCCGGCACCCTCAAGTGGTTTGGGCTTTCCGGATGTCGGGTGTAGCTTGACTTGGCCATTCGGCTCGCAAGTGGGCCGAACATGAGGGCTTCTTCACCAAGCGGTCCGAATCATGATGGATCTCTCCCAGCAGGATCGTACGATTTAGTTCAAGCTGCAGATGAGGGCCCTGCTCTTTTCTCGAACCTGTGTTGCCTTACCTGCATGTCCCCACGATCCTCCGCAATCCTTCTTTCCATGTGGGTAGTTCTATAAATTAGGGTCCCTTTGTTGGTCCCCAATACAGCTTGACACCCTTGTAAAAAGGATCCTTAAAAGGACCCTAGTTTAGAGTGCCATCGATGTGGGCGTGTGTCTCCTTATCTGGGATTCGTTTCACAGTGTTTGGGTCCGGAGTTGTTGCTCTGGGTGCCTTTGGTAGTGAGGTCACTCCAGCCCGACGAGGTCTCTGTTGTGTAGCTTGAAAAACATTCAAGCATGGCCTGTAGTTACTCCAGTTCTTCGTAGGGCCGTGTTAGCACCTGTACAGCGACTTTATGATAACGCTTCCGTCCCTGAGGTGCAAGCAAAGCTGGGCTTACCGCGGCTATGTCTGTGGTTATAGAGCCCCTTCGCCGTTTTTGCCGGAGCAGACCAGTTATGGGCTGGGTGTGTATTTTATGTGTATATACACATACATACATACATACATACATACATACATACACAAATACATACATACATACATACATACATTTATTTGGCTGATCCTTTTAGGTCTCTGCTGACCAAGCTTTTACATAAGCATTTTGGACAGAAGGTTGAATACCTCATCGTGCCTTTTCCACTTAACTAACTTATTCCACTGATTTACATTTTGCAGACGTATGTGGCGTGTTGATACAATATTTCCAATTTCCTTTGGCCTGACCTTAATGTCATGCACGCTATATTCAGGATTCCTTCTTCACAAAGCAGACGCATGTGGCGTAATGATGACATACCTTTGACCTCTTTGTTGAATCCTGATGTCATTCACGCTATACTTAGGATTCCTTCTTCACGACGCAGACTCATGTGTCGTGATGACGACATACCTCTCTTGGCTCTAACCCTAATGTCATTCAGACTATACTTAGGATTCCTTCTTCACGACGCTGACAGCTGTGGGGCGATGATGACATACTTCTGATCTTCCTGGCCTGCGTAGTCATGATCTCTTTTCACAGTGCATAGTCATGTGACGTGATGCAACATACTTCTGATCCGTCGGGCTTGATTAAGATGTCACTGCGGGGTAAACGGAGCTCTCTTCGTTCTCGTGTGTTTGGAGGGGCCCGTCTGTCTTCTTTTGAGATGGAGCTCTCTTCTTTCTCATTAGATTTGAGTATGCTCTCAGTCTCTTCTTGTCGAGGATTAGGTAGAGGACTTAAGCTGGGGGAGCTCTCTCCTCTTTTGCTAGGAGTGAGGTCTCTTCACTCTTCTCAAGACTGAGAGGCGAATACTACTACTACTACTACTACTACTACCACTACCAAGCTACTACGACTACTACCGCTACTCTGACTCTTGCTGCTGCCGGTGCTGCTGCTACTGCTACTGCTACTGCTACTACTACTACTACTACTACCACCACCACTACCAAGCTACTACGACTACTACCGCTACTCTGACTCTTGCTGCTGCCGGTGCTGCTGCTGCTGCTGCTGCTGCTACTACTACTACTACTACTGCTACGACGACGACTACTACTTGTTGATCAGCTGCATGAGCTCTAACCGCTGACCGCCACCAGAACATCTGTCACACAAGCTCCAGCCTTGTACCACACTCGTCACAACACTGTACAACTAAGCATCGTTCCGGTGATTTGGTGGTTGATGTAGCCCCGTGACAGAAAGTTTTCGTTTTATCCCAGCAGGGTGTCAGGCGCACCGCTGACAGCTGCTTTTCTTGGAAGGCTATGTGCCCCAAGGGTTTATCGAATTAATTGATGTTATTGCCAAGTTTGAGTGTGTTGTTGACGCTACTGATTCCCAAGCCCCTTGTGCCTGTTAACTAAGTGTATTTCGTCGGCCTTGAAGTTGGGATCTGCAATCTCGAAGCTTCGACGCGAAATGCCAGGCTATTGGAAACGACTCTGGCCAACAGCAACCTTTTCATCAACAATGATGTGATGCAACAGTTCGAGCGCCTCGACCGTGCAGCAGTAAGGGTCAGAGTAGCAACAGTCGCAGAATGATCGGATCCGGAGGTCTATCTAGGACCCGGCGGTGATGATTGCAGTGGAGACGAGCGTCGACATGATGGTCATGAGTCATGAGTATGCTGCTTCTTGTTACTTGTTACCACTGCAGACTTCACTGTGGCTGTCCTTGCAATTAAAACGTCGATGATGATGCTGCTGCTGATGGTGATGCTGAGGATGTTGATGGTTGGGAGGACTTTGGCAACACTGCGCATTATAGTGGTGATGTGACGGTGATGCTCATGATGATGCTGCTGCTGATTATGATGGTCATGGATGATGACGATGACGGTGTGCGGATGATAGGCATAAAGTATGCGGCTTTTTGCTTTAATGCTTTTAGTCTTGCTGAGCTCGGGCTCTTTGGTTCACGCGCAGGTTTGTAATCTCGGCCGTTCATTTCCGAAACTTACTGTGCGATGCCTTACTTAGGCTGCGCTGAACTGGAGGTCCCCCGTGTATGCAAACTACATCGTGTGTCTGTATGCAAACTACATCGTGTGTCCCAAGGTTCGGAAGCTTTGATTGAGCTGTTGCTTCAGGGTTTCAGTTTTTGCGTAGAAGCCCAGCCTAGATTCGGAGTTGCTGCATGGCCTCTGCGGTTTATGTTGGGTTTATGGACGGCACATCCGCCATGTGGGCGGTTGAGAAGAACTTGGGTTGCTTTGCAGACTGCAGGCTTCCAGTTTAGGGTTCAAGTCCACCGTCGCGACTTGGAATATTTCGGAGCTTTTCACAGGTTAGCATAGAGACCTGAAGAATCCGGCTAGAGATGAAGGAGCCCCAGGGGCTTCTGTGACCTGGACTGTTTTTTTTTTCGGACGGGCAGGTAACAGCTAGGCAGAAACTCGTGGTGCTGGCCCTGCTGGCTTAGTTTTTTTGTGGCGACGTCATCATAGGGAAGCTACCGCTCATGGTGTCTGGGTACGACCGTCGTAGGGTTTACGGCTCTGCGGTTCCTCAGGGGTTCCTGAG